CTAATAAACCCACAAACCCACAAATTTCTCTGGTTCAAAACCAGAGAAATTCTCTTCAAACCAGACAAACTAGAGAAATTCTCTCTATTTACAGTAAAGTTGTATTTTTATGAACAGAACTTGGTGATTGAGTTCAAAAACCAGAGAATTTCTCTGGTTTCAACCCAGAGCAAATTCAGTTAAAAAATCAAAGAATTTCTCTAGTTTCAACCAGAAGATCACTTTTCTCATTAATCTACACTTGGCTTCAATTTCTATTTTTGTGAACTTAAGAATATAGGATTCAGATCCTCCAGTACAACAGCACACCAACATTTCAATAGTCAATGTATTGCTTTTTGTCAAAACATAATTGGAAATGCTAAAAGAGAACAAATACACATCCAGAGAAATTTCAGTTCCAAAGAAATTCTCTCCAGAGAAAATTGACATTTCTCTGAGTACCAAATAAATCCAGAGAAAATTGTGGAAAGGAAATTTGTATGGCTATCCAGGAAATTTCTTTGACTTCGCAAATTTCTCTGGCTCTATTAACTACAATTAAGCCCATGTCTAATAAACCCACAAACCCACAAATTTCTCTGGTTCAAAACCAGAGAAATTCTCTTCAAACCAGACAAACTAGAGAAATTCTCTCTATTTACAGTAAAGTTGTATTTTTATGAACAGAACTTGGTGATTGAGTTCAAAAACCAGAGAATTTCTCTGGTTTCAACCCAGAGCAAATTCAGTTAAAAAATCAAAGAATTTCTCTAGTTTCAACCAGAAGATCACTTTTCTCATTAATCTACACTTGGCTTCAATTTCTATTTTTGTGAACTTAAGAATATAGGATTCAGATCCTCCAGTACAACAGCACACCAACATTTCAATAGTCAATGTATTGCTTTTTGTCAAAACATAATTGGAAATACTAAAAGAGAACAAATACACAGAACTGTACGTGTAACTTAAAACAAAGTAGAACCACACCAAGTACTTGACTCCATACGGGTATCCATCTTTATTGGAAGTTCATCAAACAAAATAATTACTGTGTTAGATATAAACTGTAATCTTCAACAAAGACGACTTCACCTAGAAGAATATTTAGAAGTGAACTTAAGTGAAATACTATTGACGCAACCAGTACCGATCAAAAATATCATAGAGTATAACCCAGCACCGTCGGAAGCGAACCTGGATCAACGCTGCACCAAAACACATGTCCGGAGTCGACGAAGTAGCTCGATGTTGCGGATCTTTAGTCTAGCGTAGGAGATGAAGATGAGCGCCTGGATCACGAGGGCTTCGGAGACGAAGATGTATGCGATTGCGATGAGAGGAAAGGAGAGAAGGAGAACGAGGCGGGGAATCTCCACTGGGTAAAGCTTTGGGAAGTATTGGAAGATGAGGAGGACTGAGAGTCGGGTTGTTGGGGATGGCAGTGGGTCAGATGATGAAGATAATATAAAGGACTGAAATTTCTCTGTTGTATGTTTAGGGATCTTAGACATCAAAAAATAATTTTGTGGATCTCTTCCATTATGAAAAGTGAAAGAGGGATCTTAGACCAATTTTCACTTGATTTTTAAAAAAGTTTCTTTTGAGTTTGTACATCTCTGTTTTTATAAATGCATATCATTATTATATTTCGCATCAAGTACTTAAATGATTTGATCAAAATTTTAAGAAAAATATTAGAAATTTTTAAAAAATTATCAAAATATATATTAAATATTTCACATGAATATGAAATTTATTATTGAAAATTTAATAATCATAAAATTATTAATACGACAGAAGGAGGACCAATTATTTAAAATAAAAAAAAATTTGGATCCACACTTTTTATACTAAAGTTTAATTTATCTATTTATCTATATTATATAACGTCAAAATTCATTTAATATTTTGAAACTTCTTCTCCCCTCTCGCTAAATGAATTTTTTATTAAAAGAAAAAAATTAAATAGCAAAATGAACAAGACTTAAGCCTAGGACAATGGATATGATAAATAACAACTTTTTACCACTTAAATAACACCGTGTCCACGTTTTCACTAATTTTTTCATATGTGAACATTATATTAAAATATAGGGCAAATTACATATACACCCCTCCAGGTTTGGTTAAATTACAGATACCCCTGAGGTTTCGGAAATTACATCCCGCCCCCTGAGGTTTGTATTTTCATAACAATTTACCCCCTGAGGTTTATATTTCATAACAAATTACCCCCTAATTTCTTATGCAAATATAGCATTCAGGGGGGAATTCGTAATTTCTCAAACCTCAGGGGGTATCTGTAATTTTGTCAAATCTGGAGGGGTGTATATGTAATTTGCCCTAAAATATAATAAAAAAATGTAAATATCAGTAGCATTTTTGCCGCCAAAGTTGCTACACCCCAACTTCTGTTTTCGAGAAAAGCTTACGTGGAGAGAAAAATTATTTGGTGCATTTGATGGATCACGCGAAAATATTTTTTATCAATCATAATATGATCTTTGTTGTTTTTCTAGAATTCGTTTGTGATGTAGATTGATTTTTTGACTTTTTAGTTATTTTAATTTAAAGTTAAAAAATCTAGTTTATGATAAGTTTTTTAATTTTTTTAATTTTTGTAAGAAAAAAAATAGAATGATTATAATTTATATGTGATATTTTGTCTTATTAAATTAAAAAATTTATTTTGTCTTTTTGTGACTAAAATAACTAAAAAAACTAAAAATTCTGACATGCCAAACGAATACTTAATCACTTAGAGTTCGTTTGGAAAGTGTTGGTTTGGAATTTTTAGTTAAAATAGTCACAAAAAAAATAAAATAAAATAGACTTTTTAATCTAATAAGACAAAATATCACATCAAACTCATAATTATTACATTCTTTCTATCACAAAAAGTCAAAAAAATTAAAAACTCTTCCGAAACAAAACTTTTTAATCCAAACTAAAATAATTAAAAAATTAAAAAAACAACCACTTCGCAAACCAATCTTAACATGAAATTATAAATTATATCTCTTCTTTCCCAGGACCATCTAATAGCATATGTTTCATGGGCGTTATGTTTCATGGGCGTTGTCTTCAAGTGTACGTCCTCCTGTGTCGTACACCGCTGGATCCCTCAGTACGTACCGACCACACACGACAAATAAAGATCAGGCGGTGGGGACCATCTGTTGGGACAGCCACATGGCCGGCCACGAGGATTAAACTGAGACCCATGTGGTGCTCGACCCACTGTAATAGTCTACCAACAACAACTTGATTTTTTTGATAAAATAAAATAGAATAAAACACAATCTATATAATTGGCAAATTTCAGTATACTCTCTATAATTTACCATATCTGTACAATTTGTCACTCGTCATTTAAATATATGTACATAATTTTCACACATTTAAACCTTTTGAAAGTTCACTATTAGACATTTTGTCAAGATTAATAATAATTGTGAAATGCGTAATGATAGAGATTTTAAAAAATTTATTAAAATTTATGTGAGACCCCACATCATGTAAGTTCATATGATATACGTCACATCTATGTGAGATATTTAATAAAAATTTTAATAATTTTTTAAAATTTATAACATTTTTCATTGTCAAGCACATATTTAGGATTTCTTTGAGAATTGATTATTTTACTAATCTTTTCGACTTTTCACGAAAGATGTGCAAAAAAGAAATAGAAAGACTGATGTGATAACTTATAATGACTTTTTCACTATTTTAGTCTATTGGCAAACAATACCTTAGACAAAAAAAGATTATATACTCATATCTAAATGTTAAAGATAAAATGTAAGTATAGTAAAACACAAGAAAAAAAAAGAACATTTTAAGTTTTCAAAAAATAAAGAAAGCATTCATAATTTACACAATAAGCGTTTGTTTGGATAGATGTGGGTTTCAAACCAAAAAAAAAAAAAAAAAATTGAGATTAACAGGATAGAGAACAATATAAGAAAATAAGTTGAGATAGAAGATACACGGGGTGAAAGAGAAATCCTAGCAAGCTTTAAAATATCTTGTTTTATATAATTATTTTAAATCTATTAGATAAATCAATTTAACTCAATCTTAAAATTTATAAGAAAATTTTCATATTTATTTAAATTATTATTCTTGAATGATGAACGCCAAATCTTTTGATTTGAAATATACATAGGCCTTTTTTGGCCACTTGGTTTTTAGTTACTTTTTTTAATTCGTAAGAAAAGTCAAAAAATTAAAAATTGACCTTTTTGTATTTAAAGACATTTGGAAAGTTAGTTTTCAGTCACTGATAAAATTACAATTCTATCCTTCATGGGTTAAAATATGCTACATATGTGAAGTTGTAAATATTTTAAATTGAATAGGGATAGTTTGGCCATTTTATTGTGATTTGACATCATAAACAAATATTAATAAAAAAAATCAAAAGTAACTTTCTATTAACTTCTTAAATCACTTGTCTAAAAAATCCAAAAACTTTGTTAAAAGGCAAAAAATCACTTTTTACAATCTTTCCAAAACACCCCATACTTCCAAACGGGTCTTGAAATTATTTATGTACAACAATATCTTAAATTATTTATGTTATAAATAAATTAAACGACTTATAAAATTTAATAGTAAAATCTATTTTTAAATAATAATGTTATATATAATCTCATTTTTTATATCATTTTCTCACTTCTAAACACAAAAAAATGGGATTCACATTCATAAATACATATGATACTCATATCTTAGAGTCCGGGGAAAAAAAGGTACAAAAATGCTTAGAGAGCTAAAATAAATTACAAAATATTGTATCAAATAGTGGGATCCATATAAATCCCATGTGATGTGAACTCTACATCTATACAAATATTATGTAAAATATCTAATAATTCATTTAGAATCTCTAAAAGATAATCAAGAAAAGAAAGTAAGACATGAGATGATGTTAACACTCAAGCTTTTATATATAAACTAGTAAATGAATAAATAGATATATGAGGTAGGCTTAGACCGTGTCATATGCGTGTATGTCCCTCCCCACATAATTACATTTATTATTTCTAGTCTCTTCCAGCCCTTTTCCTCCTCTCTCTCTCTCTCTCATACATATATAAATACACAGATTTCGGGATTCTTCTTTGTGATCTGAACGAGTTTATAGCAGGAAAAAAGCACAAATTCCAGAGATTATATATCATTTGGTACCTCTCAAATCTGGCACACTTTCGCTTCAATAGGTAAATCAGCACCACCACCCAGAATTCCATTTTTTAAATTATTGGTTTCTGCAGACTCCTATTTTCTCTTTCATTTTCATTGAGCCCCAACCATCACCTTCCCTTTTAACTTCCGCTGGGGCCATCCAAATATGTTCTCTTCATGGACTTTACATAACTTGTACCTGAAATTTCTCCCAAAAGGTGTTTCCTAATACTACTGTATTTAAAATCTTGTTGCATGCATATATATATATATATAGAAAAATACAAAAAATATGTTTTTCAAAACAGATTGAAAGAATATCGGCAACATGGGTTCGTGAATTTGTACTTTTCTTTTAATCGAATGTAAATAAATATGTATACCTGTGTGTGTCTATGCAGGGCGATTTGTGGCGGCGCTTGTGGCGAGAAGCTGCTGGGAAACTCAATCTGGCCGACCCTCCAATCAAATCTCCTTGTTTCTTGAGATGGGTTAGGGCGGCCGATGCAAGAACAACACCACCACCCGTTGATTCTTCCATTTCCGATCATCTTCTCTCCTTGTCTTTGTCTTCATCTTTGTTCAATTGGGTTCTGTTATTCGTTTGGCGTCTTCCCATTGATTATGGCTAACTATTAACTTTTGACCAATTGTGAAACTCTGCTTCTCAAGAATCTCTTTTCCGGGTCAATATATTCCAATTTTGAGTTGAACCCATATCATAAAAAATGTCAAAATTCAATTGCTTCCCTGCGCTGATCGGGAAGAACAAGAAAGAAAAGGTGAATATGAACCTCTCAATCAAATGTGTAATAAAAAACTAATTAATCGTGTTTGTTTGGTATAAACTCTGTTTACCTCAATTCCTTGTCTGGTTGTAGGATGATTACCAGAAGAAGATCAAGACCTTGCAAGTGAGATTTGAAGGCCATGCAAACTCTTCAAAATCCGATGAATCGAAAGCTGCTTCTTTTCGTGTCCCAGTACCGTTTGGTATTTCAGGAAATTCTAAGTGCAACGTCAAGGTAATAAGCCATGAGAGCCCTGTCAAAGGAGAGCCTACAGAAGTGTCTTACGAAGGGGAAGACGAGCAAGAAGAGAACTTGTCGATGAAGAGGGATAACTCGGATTTCGATTTCCAATCCCATGTTGTGGACTCAAACGATGAAAATGATCAGTCAATAAACAAAACGACAGAATTTTACAAATTGGGTAAAACAATTGATGCTGAATTTGAGAACAAAACTAGTAAAGATGCTGAAGAGGGTGTTGATTTGATCCAAAGCGGGCATGTTAGTGATCCGGGGATTGGGAAAACAGAGTTCTGGGCATCACCAAACCTCAAGCGTTCGTGTTCTAACCTGGAAACGAGGGACGTGCTGACGAAGATACGTGATCATTTGCACCCTTCGAAGAGTCAGTCTTTCGAAGAGTTGCAGAGATTAGCTGATAGATTTCAGGAGGATATGCTTCCTGAAAATCCAGGAAGCCCGAGGTCAGTGATGACCCATTATAGTGCCGATAAAGTGATGTTGAAGAAGCATTCTTCGAGCCAAGTACTGCCCTCTCGAAGTAGAAGACTCTGGTGGAAGTTGTTTCTCTGGAGCCACAGGAATCTGCACAAGCCGTGGTCTACAAAACCGCAGACGATTCCAATCAAATCTATTTTCAACCAGCAAGGTGGGTACTGCTCGGATGATCTGGAACCAAACAGAGCTTTGGAGTCAGAAAAGATGAAATCGCCTGAATTGTTAACCAGAAAATCAATGAAGGGTGGTAACAACAATGATAACCAGAGTTGGGATGGCTTTCATGGCGGAGTTTCTGGTTTCTTGCCACAGAACCAGTGGGTTGCTTTCTCTACAGAATCACCATTAACGAGGGTGGATGAGTGGGTAAAAGAACTCGCAATCCAACAACCTCCACTCCCGGTTTATGATGATGACGACGACAATGACAATGACAATGAAATTGTTTTCCCACAATCTCCAGAAACTGGAAAATCACCAACAAGCACATCTCATCGGCATCCAAATGTGAATATTTCGGAGGAGATTTTATACGCCGACACTGTTATCCAGTCTCTAAATTCCTCCTCGACAGTGGCTCACATCGCAGGGATCGGATTAAAAGTTATCCCGACCCTTGCACAGTTCTCCAGTCTTCGATCTGTCAACCTATCAGGCAACTCAATAGGTTAGTAATCGAGTTAGAAACAGTAAAGCGCGAGTGGCATTTTAGGTATAACCAACTGTTTTTATTTTGGTTTGCAGTTCATATCACTACTGGGTCTCTGCCAAAAGGTCTCCACACTCTCAACATGTCCAAAAACAAAATCAGCACAATCGAAGGCTTCAGAGAATTAACTCGGTTGCGTGTCCTAGATCTCAGTTACAACCGCCTCTCTCGAATTGGGCATGGTAAGAAAAGAAAATATCATTGTAGAACTGATTGACAACACTTTTAAGAGATCATTGTATAACTAATACAGCAATCTAACTACAAATGATATCAGGTTTGTCAAACTGTACACTTATTAAGGAGCTTTACCTCGCCGGAAACAAGATCAGTGAAGTTGAGGGGCTGCATAGATTCTTGAAGCTGACTGTCCTAGACTTGAGCTTCAACAAGTTAACCACAACAAAGGCACTTGGCCAGCTTGTAGCCAACTACAACTCCCTGCTAGCTCTGAATCTGTTGGGGAACCCAATCCAGAGCAATATCAACGACGAACAACTGCGCAAGTCAGTTTGCGGTCTTCTCCCGAAGCTAGCATACCTGAACAAACAGCCAATTAATCCACAGAAGGCACGGGAGGTGGCCACAGAAAGCATTGCCAAAGCTGCACTTGGCAACAGCAGTTGGAACTCCCGCAGAAAATCAGTAAAAAGGGTGAGCCAAGGTGGATCCAGTGGGCACAGGAGTAGCGCCGGTGTTGAGCAGAGAAGGCAGCAGAGATCAAAAAGCCGAACTCATCACCAGCCATCAGCCCTAAAGATGAAGTCATCTGAACAAGCTTCATCTTCCCGGTAAATGTTTCCCATTTCTTGGGGAATTTTACCTTGAAATCAAGTTAACTTTTTTGAAGTGGGAGTTTTCTATGCTTTCATTTTCTCATTGGAACTTTGTGCACAAGCTAGACACATTGATAAAGTTGCATTTTATCTAGGTTTGCTTTAAAACATCAGATCTCTGTGAGCATGAGCATAGATTAGCTTGGCTCATGTTCTCACAGGAAAAAACAGCATGAGGAATTGAATTTTGAAGTGAATTATTGTACTCTAAGCCATAAGAACCTGCAATGGTGAAATATTATGATTTTGTTTATACAGTACCGAGTATCAACTCACAATGAATTGCTCTCTCATTTCTCTTTAATTCTTTTTCACCAATGAAATGTTTCTTTACAATGTTATATGTTTTGATTCACAAACACAAAAATTCCATCTTCCAGAGATGGATGAATAAATGAAAGAACACTGAGGTTATTCCATTTATGTTGTTTCACTTGTGTGGTTGGTTCTATTATTGATTATGTGTCTGTATAATTATTGAAGATAGAATGATGGAAAAGGATAGGTGCTGCAAGGGTCTTGTTCTGATCTGGAGAGACTGCCTGCAGCTGCCAATACTTATCTTGGAGGAAATTTGCAAAATCTGAACCACACCAGGACAATGTTTTCCTCATCTCTTTTAAGTTTTAGCTTCCTAATCTATCGTGGCTTATATCACGTGGTAGGGAAAAGAGTGTCCAGTAAACCAGGAGACAAATACTTACTGTGATATGCTATACATCTTTATCAATTGTTCACTCCCAGAAAAGATGATGTGAATAAAACAAAACCCTAAAACAACCAAGTGTTGATGCTTAGTGGTGTCAGGTGAGCTTCTTAAAGTGTATCAGAAATGAGGTCAGGGGTTGAAGTCCACTGAACTAAAGTGGGATGGCTATTGAGGCATCAAGGGGTGTGTATCCTAAAGTGTTGCAAAAACATTTTTAGTAGTATTTGCATTATGTGTAGATCAGAAGTTAACCATATTCTTTACCTCTGTGTGATTAGTGCTGCTGATTATTGTGAAACAGCATCTTTCCCTTCTCCAGCTTAATTTGCAGCCCAATAAATATAGAGAAAAACTTCTAGACATACAATTCAGGATTGAACCCATTTCTTGCAATATTCTAATCAGTAAGATTTAGACTTGCTGCTTGTCTTGAGAATGTACTAGTATCCACCATGAACAAGATGAGATCAACATAGACTTTCAACCTGCATGATCAGTCTTGATTTGAGTAGTAAGCTTCTATTATGCTTTTATCTTATTCGTCAGCTCTTATCATATAAATGTTAACAGAGACTCTCTTGCAAAGAAAGAAGCAGAAAAACAGTTGGGTTTACATGTTCTATCAAATGAACTTCGAATACATCTCATATCAAATTTATTGATGTTCTAGATATTGATAACACAAGAAAATAAACATATTTTATATGACGCATTCTTCCCCCAAAAAAAGACACAAAGCACCAATTTGCCACCTGCCATAGAGGTCCTTGCTAAAGCATTTCACTATCTGGTAATTATAACCACCAATTGAACTCAGTTGACAAGCAACACGTTGCAACCAATGGGTTTTCGGTCAAATGTTTCAAATTTTGGTTTTCAATTCAAGGACATCTCATTGTCAAGTTTATCCTAATTGTCATCAAGAAGATAGAGACATTACGCAAAGACGTCACACACACAAAAGAAGATGAAAAAAATGAAAAAGCCGTCATTAAAATGTCTTATCACTATAGATTCATCTCAAAATCTATATTACATTGTAATAGTTGCTACCAGCTAGAGGGATGGGATGATATCTGAGTTTACATTTCCTCTTAACTAGGAAACCATGATAATACCAAAATGGCTAATTGAGAACCATAAATTACAAATGAATTAGTCACAGGCATAACATAGTGATGACATATAAAATAAGTAAGAATGCTATGGATTAATGCTAAAAACAATGTTAAGGATCAACCTAAGATACCTCGTGAGTGCACAATAAAACTTTTAATCACAGTTTTGCCCATAGAGCTTTGCTCGATTTGCAAGAACACATACGAGATTGCACACCCATTGAAAACCTTTGCTCAATTGGCAAAAGCAACAAGACATTGCGGTGCACCCATTAGAAATTGATCAGTTGCAATCAGAACCCGGTTCCATCTCTTGCATCTGTGCAAATCTATACAACTTCTCATTGAAAACCACCTGTGGATCCTTATTGATCAAGACACCATCTTCACTATAAGCATCCTTCAAAAACACAACCCAATTCATCTCTGTACCAGCCAAGTAAAAAGTCCTCGGCTGCTTCAAAAGCATTTGATAAGTATGCTTGGTAAGACTGAACTCTTCCTTGAACTCCACAATGTGGTGTATAGAAGCCCTCTTCTCCAAAGTCAAGCTCAAGAACTCGTGCAACAACCCAATCCTGTACTTCTCTGCCTCCAATGTCCAGAGATCCAACTTGGACCCATCCGAATAAGGCGAAACCAACGGAAGGGTGTTCAGCAAATTCAACTTCCTCGAATCGTCCTGGTCCAAATCCAATTCCTTCCCGTGCTTCACCGGAAATTTGAAAGCTTTCTTCACTCGATCCTCATCCACCATGAATTCCCTCTCCAAGTCACTCACTGCCAACAAAGGATCCCAATTGACAAGCTGAAGCATTCTCTTTCCATCATCTTCAACCACAACTCTGAAGTAATTAGGGTAATTCAAAACCCTATCTCTGAAATCTTCAGGAATCCCAAACAACAACCTGCAATGATACAATTTGCTCAAAGCAATTCGCTTCTTGGCGGACATCATTAGCAGTTTTCGAACAGTGGTGACTCTACGTTCCTCCATCGAATCCATAATATCTGTCTCTTGTTCGATCAGGGACTCCATGAAGTCAGTGAACCCGAACCACATCTTGGAGTCGTGGTGGCGGTAGGTTTGGAAGAGGAGGGGGTGGCGGAGGATGGAGCGGAGGACCTTGCGGCCGCGGGGAAACCCTAGCTCGCGGTGGAGCTTGCCGGCGTCGTCGAGGCGGAGGACGTGGTGGGGTTGCTTGGAGAGGTAGTCTTTGGTTTTGGTGAGGAATCGGAAGGTGGAGTCGCGGTCGACGATGGACTCCAAGTGGGAGAGGCGGCTGGATTGGTGGGTAATGAGCTTGCTTCTGGGGCTGTTGTCCTTGTTCTTGCGCTTCTTTCGGAGATTTTTGGGGGTTTTGGTGATGAGGAAGGAGGTGGAGAATTGGAAGAAGTAGGGTTTAGGGTTAGGATTAGGGTTTAGGAGGTGGGTGGTGGCGAGGAGTCGGCGAGCCATGGCGATTTTGGATTTGTGGGGAAATGAACTGGGTGGTGGAGTCTGATCAACCAACTGGGAAAACAAAAAAAAAAAAATGAAAAAAAAGAGGAGGGCAAGAGGGATTGGAGAAAAAAGGAAGAGACTCCGACCTGCCGGATTCGAACCAGCGACCTAAGGATAGCTATTTGGAATTTATACCCACTACAGTCCTCCGCTCTACCAACTGAGCTAAGGTCGGTTTGTTACCATGGTTTGCAAGTAAAAGTTATTGACTTTTTTATACTAGCCCAAAAATAAAACAAAATTTGAAACACGTACACATACTTGCTATGCACTAGTTTGGCATAGCAAATTTTGGGGCTAAAAAGCTATTTTAGGCCTCGTTTGGTAAGAGGCTATTTTAGTTAATTAGTCAAAAAGTTACTAAATTAGTAAAAAAGTCAACAATTCATACCAAAAAGTCAAAGATTCTCTTTTCTCTCTACTTTTTGCACATCTTTTCGTAATTAGTCAAAAAGTCATTCCAAACATACAAATTTTTTTTACCTACCTTTTTAGCCAAATAGCCAAAAAATTACTAAATTAGCCTGTTCCCAAACGAGGCCTTAGTTACAAAGATATATAGTAGATTAAAAAAATAATAAAATAAAATGTCACATCTAAATTATAATGATTTTATTTTTTTTCTCACAAAAGTCAAAAAATCAACCCACATCCCAAACGAAGCTTATATGTACTCGGGTAAATTTTGAGAGTTATTATTTCCAGCCCACTTTACTCCAAATATATCCCTTTTTTTATCCTTATTATACATAGTTATATTCCTTATTATATATAGTTATATTAATATAGTATCTTTTATACAAAAAAACACTCCCAAAACTAAAAAATTTAAGAATATTAATGTAACTATATAATAAAGACAAAGAAAATAGTGTATTTAGAATAAAATAGAATGAAAATAGCGACTCTAAATATTACGACATTTGTGGTACAATTACTTATTTTTATAGCATGTTATGTTGCTCCTTTTATTTTTTTTCACAAAAAATTGTAATATGTACTAAAAAACCTAAGCACCAACATTTCGCTTTTTCAAGAGTCCCCAAATCTCTAAACATGAATGTAATACAAATTTTTTTAAAGTAATTTTAAGAATTAGTATTTTTGAAAAACATTTGAAGCTTTCAAAACATGTGTTTAACCTAATTCCTTTTTATTAGCAACTTCTTTTTTTTTTTTTTCCTTTCTTTTCTTTTCTATAAAAGGTCTAACCAAAACAAGGAGATAATTGTTCGATGAAAATTATTTTTTCAAATTCTACTGATAATTGTTCACACACGAGTTGAACAAAACACGAATTTGTGATTCATATAAAATAGTAAAATTCATAATTTTGAGTGAGATCAATACAACTTTTGAATAGAAGTCTAACTATTTGAGATCAATCATAAATCATATTTTGTTTCTGTGACAATGGTGAGACAATATTACAACATCTTATAAAGAGGAGAAGAGAATGAGATTTAAGGGAAGAGAAATGTTGGTTTATGAGAGTATCTGGAATTGGTTTAGTTGGTCTGAGTACCCAAATTACAACCTAATTCAAGCATGCTATTAAGATTTTGAGGCCTTGGTCTGGTGACCACCAAAATCCGGCGATGACAACTCAAAGATGGTGCTTTCCGCCAATATAGGCAAATGTTTTGGCAAAAAAATGAGCAAAAGAGGGCACAGAATGAAGTACAGAAAATTTCTCCATGTAATTACATAGCCAAGTAATTCTATATATATATATGAAGTATAGCAATTGAAATATATATATATATATATATCTTTATTCTGTAATCATCTTCAGCAAATCTAACTCATTGTGTGGTTGTACATTAATAACAAGACATTGCAAGGTAAATCAAATGTAACCCTATACTTAAATCTCACCCTTGCTTCATTCAACTGTGTAATTACATGGCCCTATGTATGCCTTACGGCTCCATAGGAGTTGTGTGGTTGGATCCACGAAGGCACGGACTCGTATCTTTCTCTCTCTCTGTCCAAAACTTTTCATGCCCACCATCCAGTGGCGGAACTTTATGATTTGCTTAATTTAGATCCACAAAACAATATATGAATTTAATGATCATCTACCTATTCGAGGCTCCCTTACAAAGTTCACAATCAGGTTGCTTGTCTCTTGACGAGAGGTTTCTGGGCGATGAGGAGTCTCTCATCACTGTTACTCTCGATTTCTACGACTCGTGCCTCCCATTTCAGCCTCGCAGCGAGAGTTCTTGCTATTTCAATGAGAGAGGCAGAGTCACGGAGTATCACCCACCCCTGCACAACACCACCAAGATTAGCAAATTTTACAGAAGGGCTTGAAGGAGGAAAGTAGAATAAACATTATGTCACGTGTGTACAACTGATGTTTGTATGAGCATGACACATGCAATTGCACACATAGAATGGAAAAAATAACACAACGTTATTGTAAAATAGAGCGAGCAAGATTTGGAGTTACTGAGTCTGTGTTTTAGACCAAATGAATGTTCAATAAATTATCATTTTTCATGTGAAAGCCCAACCTCTAAGAATTTTTCTATTCCAGAAGATTTGAAACTTTAAACAAATGCTAAATTTAATGATTAATCATACTTCAAAATACCCATGGTTCAAGGAATATTGTTTAGCGTAATACAAATTATGAATATATTTGGTAGTCATCTAGGATATTTAATGCCACCCAAACACAATGGATTCATTTTAAATGCCCTAAATAAAATAACTGATTTAATCTCTATGAAGCATCCCGAAGAACCTCGTAGAGGAATTGAAAGAATATTAGAAAAGCAAGCATTCAAACATACAACCAATTGAAATAATTATTTTGAAAATGTCTTTGTTTATATCTTCTCCAACTATGTTAAAGAGTGTACCATTCTTTGCCAATCTTATGAATCCAACACTGATATGAAGCTAACCAGCAATTGCTACACGCCGGAATCTATACAAGTACTCTTATCAAGTTTTAATAAAACAGCCTTACAAATGCCATTTTCTTTTGTATTATAGTTATGCTACACTCTCCTATTTTAATAATTTTCATAATTATTTTTTAATTTCTTTAATGATGTGAACATTGCAATGTGATACATACATAAAACAGATCTATTTTACTCGTCGAAAAGGAATAATGAATGGAAAATGCAGTTAGTCATACATATGCGATACCCAACTTCTATGGTCAAAAGACCAGCTCATTTTAAACATTCACAAGCTAAGTCACCTAGTTCATTCAACTTGGTAGGCGATCTGCACTCTAGTGTGCAAATTCCCAGATTTTACAATAAGTCGGGTCAAATCCAAGAATTCTATGCAAATCTTATTTTAGTCAATAACTTACTGCCACAAATATATATACATATCCAATTCTAAAAGTATATTGCATAAAAAATTTACTGCCACACACACAAATATATATGTAGGATTCCAAAAGTATATTGCACATGGAATAAGCCACAAGCAAACAAGTGGCCACATGGCATAAACACAACCATTGTATACTCGTTACTGGCCAATGTAAAAAAGAAACAAACTGGGGCATTTAGTAGAACTGACAGGCTGCACACTTCTGTTTTTAACCAATGTGGGATTGTTGCAAAAGGGGTGAGGCCGTTTTGTATTATAACAGGTGCCTAAAGCTATTATTTTCAGCGATATGGGATTGTTGTCTCTCTTGCCTTTTTTAATGTTAAGCAACATATAAACTAATTTATTTATTTATTTACTATTATTTTTTAAATGTACACACACTCCGTAGGCACTCCTGCTCTGGTGGTATTTCACAGAAGACGCTATTGCACTCCCACTCACACTCCCCACTTCTGCTCCATGAATCGGGTGCTTTAGCTCACAAGAGTCCAACCCTTGAATCCTAGAAAGTATACCACAAGCTGAAGCCAAACATGACCAGGAAGCATGCTGACAGTGAATTGGTTTAAAAAGAGGATGAATCCCCTTCCAATTGTTCTAAGCAATAAAATTTAGAATCTACAGATTTAACTTCCAAACATGCCTGTGAAGATGAAACAGTGGGTGGGATGCTTCCTACTATTCTTAATCTATTTTTATTTTAGTACACCAACCCACAATCATTTTAAATTTCAACCAATTGATAAAAATAAGGAGAACAATGTGCTTGTCTATCAAATATGTAACATAGAAACAGTAACAAAACGATTATGGTACCTCTGGACGAAGTAAACGATCTATCTCAGAGAAGAGATCTAGCATGGTACACCTTCGCTGCTGATCAGTTTCAAGTGATAAAAGTCCTTCAGCATGGACCAAATCATATGTTCTAGGGTAAGTTGGAAATGGTTCACACCTAAAATAAAATTAAAAAAAGAAAAAGTTCAAATGATGCATAAATCACAGAATCATAGGGAAAAAAAAAAAAAAAATCATATAGGGACATCAGTTGGAACAATGTAGAATAACTTTTAGCTTAAACCTGAGATTTATAATGCTCAGGTATCAAATCCAGTATCCTTCCAACAATGTATGAGACCAGTGTGTATACCATTATAATTTCCAATGAAAAAAAGGGTTATCATTGTAACAAACAATTTCAGTTACAGCTAAATATTTCATTTCAACAAAATAATAAAAATCACAACCAGATACCAAATCATATGTTCTAGGGTATATTATTTTTTTCTCCTCTCTTAATGTGGCATAATAGTACAAGGGGTTGCTTTCACTTTTCAGGTTTCACTGATTGTCAATTTGAAATATGGAATTGGTATGTAACCACCACAAAAGTAGATTAACAACAAACACTCATTTTCTATGAACGTGGGCTGTCCTAGTTCAAGAACAAGAACAAGAACAAGAAGAAAAAGTCAAGGTCCTCATGATGATAGTAAGTTTACAGGTTTTGTCAAGATGACCAACAAAACTTATCCCTTCACTAAAAAGCTAACAAATCAATCTCAATACACACTTATCAACAGCCACAGAGTCTAGCAATTAATCTAAAATAGCTATCTGCTACTATTTCACATCAAGTTAGGAACACTACAAATATAAAAATAAAAAAGAAGTTGTCCTTTCTCTTATAAAGTAAGTAAGAATGTCAATGAAGTATCAGTTTTCATAGGACATTGAAAGCAATGAATTCTTTGAGGTAGAAGGTTCAACTTACCAGTCATGTAATACTCCAACAAGACCCCTATCAAGGATTAAGGGAAGGGAGTTGGGCCCAATTGTAGGGACCACATTCATGACCCAAACGGATTTCCCAGATTCCAATAAAGCAGAATTGAAGCCACCAAAACGGGCATTCATGTCCAACACATTTCTGAGCATATTATAAGGTGGAGAAGGATCCTCATCACCAGGTCTCTTTGGATGATCAGAAAAAATTAGTGGTGAGAGAAGAGACCAATAGTTACGAACTGCTGAGTTCCAGTTTAGGATATCCTCAGTGAAGTCATATGGAGGCAAACCTGGTAAATAAGGCAATCAGTGACACAATTATCAGGATATTCCCAAGGCAGCAGAAATTATGCGTGAAGGTTTTTGTGCTTAGTGCCAATGTAGCCAAATTGCTTTTCCATCTATATACTGTTTAAATAAGGTTATGAAAGACAAAACTACTAGATAGCTAGCTTAATATACATTGTTGGGTTCATTTACTAACAACTTAAGCTTTTGGAATAATTGGTGATCTAACATGGGATCAGAGCTCAGATTGAGAGAGGTCACGGGTTTAAGTCTCTCCGTTGGCATTTAGTATTTGGTCCCCATTTGGTTTCTTTTTCTCTGTTTGCTTGTTTGCTTCTCTTTCTGTTAAATTCTTTATTTGTTATTCCACATGCAAGATGGGGTTACACATTAGGGAAGGTACACATTACTGGCCTATTTTCTAACAACTTGCCCCTTTGGGATAATTGGTGATCTAACAAAACCATCTTAATGAAAATAGAAATTACCATAGATTGCAAGTTCACTTGAGTTCAATTTAGCCCTAGAAGGCCAGGTCGGCCTTTCTTCAATCGGAGCCCATCGACGGCTGTGCGTTCCTCCTATGCAGGATTGGAGAGGTCGATAATATGGGGATTCAACATCATGGCCCTTACTGCAGATGGAGGGACCAGATCCAGATTTCCTAAAAATTGAAACAGTTCACACCACAAATTAGGATCATTTATTGGCCCCATGGCCAAAACAACATGCATGAATATTTTACATATATTCTCAACAAGGATACCTGCATTAAAAATAAAACATGAAATAAATAAAGATTTAATCACAGTCCCCTCACCTAGAATCATAACAACTCTTTTTACTCGTCTTTTTCCACACAACAGTTTCATCTTGCTGTGGCAACATATCCCAGCAGAGCATTTCTGCAAAACTGCGCACAAAATTCCATCTTTTCTGATTCTCTTTGTTGCGACGGGAGCCCTGAACATTGGTAACTGGTGAAGTCCACACGAAGTATCCACCAGGCCTCAATACACGATCAGCTTCAATCAAAAGAATACCCTCTGCACCACATGACAAAAAGAATACAATCAAAATTCCCGATTCAACAAGAAATGTCAACCCAAATAATATGAAACCAACTAAATCTAAGCATGACTACATCACAGCAATATGTTCTTCCACGGCAAAAGCTTAACAAGAGATGAAGCATGGTTTGCACAAAGACATCTTACTAAGGAACACTTGCTTTGTGGGGTTCAAAAGGCAATAATTAGGATGGTTTAAGCTTTAAAAACATGTCTAGACTTTCATTGCATCAGACTCCTTGATCACAATATGGTGAACAAAACATGCAGATCTTGCTACAGCACACTGATGACAAAGCAGTGCATTATTTATCGCTTCCTCAGTCAATTAACCTTGTGAATCTACTGCAACTTGGGTTTAAAATCGATGGACTGCAATGCTTCTGCCACCCACATATGCAATATATTATCAATGATAAAAACAAATCTGCAATCCAGGTATTCTTTGCAATAAGTAAAGAAACAGCAGCTGAAACAATTCCCTTTTTTAAATTGGTTTTTTAAACAAGTGGCAACAAAACCAGTTTAGTTCAAATACCTAATTGATTCAAGAAAAAGAAGGAGAAAAAAAAAAGAGCAAAAATTCTGCCTGGTAACTACTCTCAGTAGCTACCACAAATAGCATAGCCAACTCAACAAAGTCTTGGATTACATTTGGTTGGCTATCTAACAAACCTTTTTTTTTTTTTTTTTTTTTTTATTGGCAAAATTCTGTGGTTAGTTGTTAGATAAGCACCTAGGAGGAGATCTTTAATAATGTTTTAGTTCCACATTTTGGAAGAGAGCATGAGAACCAAAGGATATAAAAATGTAGCACATAGTTTGTCAAAAAAAGTTATTGGTAAGCAGATTAAGAACTTGAAGGATACTGGCCTTCCAACCAGATAAAATTACTTTTCTACAGTCAATATACAATAATACTGCTTATAATAATCCATGAGCCACGGAGGATGAGAATCCAGCCACAAAAAAATAAAATGTAGGAACCTTGTGTATTATTTCATCACAAATATGCCATCACAAATATGTATTATTTATTTCATTCTCACTTTTCCACAAACGAACATATCATCTTTTCCAAAGATAACCAGCAAATGAAAACAAGTCTCTCTTAGTTTTTCCCTGTCTAGTAACAACTTAGTGTCATTATCTTCTACTAAAAAAATAATTGAAAAGATGCATGCACCCTATTTACATGTATGAAGATGGGCCTAGAGAAGTATAGCTTTCAACCAATACCTTTTTTATCCCAGTCAATGCCACATCGTGCACAATGCACCATATCAAAGGAAAGAGATGGATATGGCAATTGCTTCGAAGTAAAAGAACCAAGCATTGCAGGAAGACCTCTTTCAAGCGTTAGCTGAACTTGGCTGCCTGAAGCCTCATAGTTTGCAATACACATGGTTAACAATTGTTTTGAAAAGAGATGTGCTCCAAAGCTACCATAACCACATCCTATATCCAAGATGATTCTAACCTGAAATGTAGAAGTGCAGTATAAGTGAGATAGATTTTATTTATTTATTTAGTAAAAATACCAAGCTAATTAAGTTTTTTCTTCCATTCGGCAGATATACAATAAATAAACCCTGACGTTTCCACAACAGTTGATGATGAGTTGTTCTCGCCTAACTAGCAGTTGTCCATCATTTTTTATGTCAATGAATTTCTTCCATTAATTAAAAAAAAAATCTTGACATGAGCAGTTCCAACATGTTGATCAGACATACAACTCTTTCACAATAAAAGAAATATCCATATTGAATCTTTTGAAGACTGGTCTAAATTCAATTTGAACACAACATCAGAGTTTATTACAAGAACTTATATCATTGGATATGCAAACCATTTTTACACGAGCCATTACTTGCAACTATAATCATGAGGTCTAGATATGAGACTTGCAAATAAAAGCAAGGAAGATTTTATTGTCATTGCATTTTCCAATTTTCATGATAAAATATATATAAAGTAACCAACACTAATCATAGCAATAAACACCAACACAGACACTTCAGTAACACCCAGTGATCACAACATGCAATTTTTTTTATTCTATAACTAGCCACGACAAAGGAAAAGCACAAGGAAAGCAATGAAACAGGACATTTTAAAGATGCTGAGTACAATAAGCAATTTATATGTACTTACTCCAGCTTGTAAAAAGATAGATTCATTTCTTAGCCCAATCATTTCAGCAATTTGATGCGAGTAGTCTTCAACACCATCGAACATAAGAGAAGCTGAACGGAATGAGATCTGCTCTTCCTCCAACATCATCATCCTACGTCCCAAATGAATTAAAAAGCAAAAATAAGTTCAGGACCTAAAGCTACATAATTTTGGAATAAAGGAAAATAGCACTCCCCGCTTACCTCTTGGTCAAGCTTCCAGAGGAAAGCACTTCCTGTGCAGTAATTTTCACATTTGCAACCCATATAACATCTTTTCCAGTAGGCCATCTAAGAGGAATCTTATAATTGACGGGGGGAAGAACCAAGCAATTTTGCCTCGATCCATGCGTACAATGGCGGTCGTACTCTTCTCCTTTAGAAAAACCCAAAGCAAGATTCTCTGTAGCATTGAAGCAAGGAACATAATTTTCAGACTCCAGGGGACAGAATTCCAATTCTTTCAACCTTGTAGAACCAACAGACAGCTCTCCAATATCCCAAAGGTCTGATGCAATTTGTGCTTGTATACTCTTATCCCCACGAAATATGTGAACTCTTGATGAGATTGTGATCGACATTGTCCACAAAAAGGATCCAATAAGAGCAAGAACTACGATTGCAACTAAACTTAACTTAATAAAGAGCAAAGTTAACTTGTGGCGACTTCTCAATGTCCCGGGGCTGTAGGGATCAGATGCGAAACCATTCTCACTAGGACTGTGTATAGAAGGTGAATTATCCGGAACAGATAACCGAATAGGAAATTTGAAAGATATTAATGTGTGATCGGAAGAACCAAATTTATCGAGATTTTCTTTATCAGTTTTGTCTTTCTTCTGAGAGTCATCCCAGAAATCATGATTGTTCCCCGAGAATCGCCCCCCACCAGATACACCTCGTTGTAGTGGCCTCGACATTTTGCAACCTTCAAAACCCACACAAACCAATTGTAAAAAAAAAAAAAAAATGCAGAGAAACCCGAAAAATTCTTCAGTACGATGAGCTAAAAACATAAGAAAATACAAGGTTGAAGAAAACATCAATAAACAGAGAAACCCAGAAAAGTTCTTTAGTGAAACAAGCCAAAACAAGCCAGAAATAAAATTGGTGTCCTGGGATAAGATCAGTTCCACATTTGCTGTACTAGATCCAGAAAACCTAGACGTATATAGCATATTTTGATTGGCATATTATCTTATTATATACATATATATCAGAAGACTAAACCGTCAAGTTCATGTCAAGTATAAAATCAAAAAAAGGAAAGAGAGATTACACAATTCAGATTCGCAGAACAGCAAAAAAATAACATTTCCATTTCCAAGATTGAGTTCAAATGGCCACCAAGTTCATTTTCCATTGAAATTCAGTGAGGCTAAATTACCTCAAAACTGAAAATCTAGAGAAACCCAAAAACGATAAGCTAAAAAAAACCCATTCCAATCAACCGACAAAGGGCGACTTTTGAAAAACAAATCCAAATCAATAAACAACAACAGAGAAAGTAGTTGCACAAGAAAAGACTACCTGAAATGCAGAGAGAGAGAGAGAGAGACTGAAACCAAACTCCCCCAAATTTCAGCCTACAATGATGCGGATTTCACGAGTCGGGTTATGACTACCTCAGTTTTCGTCTTCTCTCAGCTCCGACTGCTCTTCTTCATTCGCACCATCTCTTTCTCTTTCCCACTCTCTATCTCTCTGGATTTAGCTACACGGCTTCCAAATTTCAGAGCGAGGAGAGAGAACGAGAGTGAGACAGTGATGGGTTCGTCCAATATCGATCCAATCGCGACAAAGCTCGCTCGTGAAAGACTATCCCCTCATCTACACATACGTACATGCATACATTTATATATTCTCTCTCTTTCTCTGTGTCTATATATGTACACAATTAATGTGATACGATATATGTAATTTTTAAGTCTGCATTAACACGCTGTGCTGATCAGTAGAGCTCGATCCCAACTGTAATTCTCAATTAATATTTTTTATTTTATTTTTTTCGTGTACAAGCAAACCCAATTAAACTATTCATTCATTCCAAGTTTCTGCGAAATAGACCTACCTCAAACCCCGACATAATAGCAGTAAAACTCGCAAATACAAAAACAACTCTCACTCTCACACTCTCTCTCTCTCTCTCTCTCTCTCTTAGAATATTTCAATACATGACTAAAGGGATCTCTTTTTCTCTCTATCTAGAAGCGTGAGAATTACATTTACTTGGACCTAACATGTAGATCTGTGAGAAGAGAATGAGAGTTTTAGACACCCAAATTGGTAAATTCGTTAAATCAATTTGTCAAATACTCCATCTTCCGCCGGAATTGCCGGACACCTAGCATTACATTACATTACATGCATATACATATATACATACAGACATATACGTATAGAGAGAGAGAGAGAGAAATGGGGTTCCCACTATCAGATAAAAGTCACCCAGAAGACAAAGCCTAGTAAAATCCAAAATCTCATACCCACTTCGACATTCTCTCTCTACTCTCTCTCATCTCTCTATGGATCTTATCTCTGCTTTTCACTGCTCTCTCTCTCTCACTCTGTATGTATGTAATTTTTTAGTTTAGTGTTTCTCTGGAGTGAGTGGAGGATCAAATGAGTGAGATTTTGGGATCAGGAATAGTATTATAATAGTAATCTAAGACAGATTTTCAACTCTAATTACTGGCCATTATCATTTCAATCCACTTTCGTGTGTTAAAAAATGATTTCGGTAAGAATTATGCAAATTTTTTTTAAAATTTTTATTATTTTTACACTTATGATGAATATAATCACAAATATAGTTAGAATTTAATTTAAGATTGTAAAGGGAGTTGAATCAAGATAACTAATAATCTATTCAAATTTAACTTAAAATTTTAATAATTTTTTAAATATATTTTAATTAATTTACTTATTATGTAGAGTATAAATGAATTTTAATTAAATTCTCCTAACATTATTTATTTTATTTTATAATATATATAAATTTATTGAGGTGATAGTAGATTTTGTATATCTATATAATAAGGCAAGAGGGATTTTAAAAATGTATCAAAATGTATGTGAGATACATTTTGATCCAATGGTTTAAATTACACCATCTAAATCTCAATGGTTAGGATGTCTTTGAGCATCAACTAATATTATTTACACCGTGCCTTTAGGCACGGGCATACGCTAGTATATATATATGAAAAAAATTCCAGTGTGAATAAAGCATTAGATGTTCAAAAATAATTTTAAAACATTACTTTAAAATATATTTAGTTTTAATTTATTTAACTGGTGAGTTGAATAGTTTTTTAACGAGTAAGCGTGAGACTAACTTAAATAATTTAAAATGTTTTATAATTTTAATTCTAATATATTGTTTTGAATTTTTTATGCACAATAATATTTTTAAGTAATTAAAATTTTCAGTGGATGATTAAATTTGTAATTTATTTAAGTAACTAAAATTTTCACTTGGGTTCTGATCTGATACGCTACACGACGACACTGGATTGAAGCAAATAGCATGATTTCCATCATTAAATAAAGGGTAAATTACAAACCCTTCCCGATTTGGTGAAAATACAGATTTCTTCCTGATATTTGAAAAATTATAAATTGTTCCCTGAAGGTCAAATTTGCACAACAAATTAAGAGAGAATCTGTATGAAAATAAAAATCTCATGGAGCAATTTGTTATGAAAATATAAACCTCAGAGAGCTGGATGTAATTTCTCAAACCTCATGAGAGAATTTATATTTTCACCAAACCTCGAAGGGGTGTTTGTAATTTACCCTTAAATAAATATAAAACTTTTTTATTAAGTAAAGTGGGCCCAGCATGACAGATTTGTAAATCTCCTATTTTCGTCTAATCGTTACTGTGACGATGACGGCTTGGTGGTAATTCTTGAGAGCATCTCCAATGCACTAGGCATATAATACTTGTTAGTTAAAATACTTAGTATGATTCACTTTTTTCAATTTCAATGCACTAGGCATATGATTAGGCATTTTGGCTCAACTCATTTTCACTAGCTACATGTAGCTAGCCTTCAACGCTAGGCAAAATGTATTCAATCATTAGGATCATTTCCCTCCATCTTTGTTGTTGACGTGGAATTTTATAAAATTAATAGTATTTGGATAAATAGCTAAAATAAAGAGCATGGTTGGAGTAAAAACATAAAACAGTTGATAGGCAAAATAAAAAATATACTTTATAGTAATATTCAGATAGGTAAAATGCCTACTACCGTTGGAGATGCTCTGAGTCCAGGAGCTCTACTTGGCTTGGCTCCTTATTTGGTGGGTTATTGTGTTTATTTTTAAACTTAATTTTGATAATTTAAATTATTTATATTTTAAAATTTATCAAGTTTATTATATTTATAAAAAATTAAGTTGATCGGATATTGAAAATTATGTAATCGGATTATCAAACTAAAAACCGTTTTATGAAAAAATAAAACTATTAATTAAATTTTTTAATAAAGAATTTTTAGTAATACGTGATTTTCCATATCTGATTAATTTGATTTTTTACAAATATAATATAATTGGTAAATCTTAAAATATAAACGGTTCAGATCATTAAAATTAAGTCCAGAAGTTAACATAATGACCCACCAAATAAGGAGCCAAGTACAAATACTCGTAATTCTCTTCCTTCGAAAAAATTACTCGTAATTCTCTTCCTTGGAAAAAAATTACGCAGTGGCCTTGGTGTAAATTTACATTGTGTAACAATTGTTAATAAATGGTGTAAAATAATATTTTAAAATCATTAAATAATCATTTCAATCTTGAAATCAAGTAATGTCCCAACAAAATCAGATTAAAGTTAAGTTTGTTTGGGCAATTAGAAATTTAAAATTATAAGTTTTGTTTTAAATTTTAATAATTCTGATACAAGTTTTTTAAATTTTAAAAAAAAATTATAAACAATTTTTTATATGAATTATACCAAAGAAGACCATCATTAAACCATAATTTTCTTTTTGTATGCTCACACAATTTAATATATGAAATGAGACTTATTACAATAGTTTTATAAGTTTCATACCAATGAGTTTTTTTTTTTTTTTTTTTTGTCTATTAATTTCTAATATGTTATACATAGACATATATTTTGAAAGAGGTGAGGTCCAAGGAATTAACTAGAAGAATATAAAATTTGATTATACAAATGCTTTCACAGAATGATAAGGAATTTATAATAAGAAGAAGAGGAGGAGACTCGCAATGTCACATGCAATTTGAATTTTGAAGTCAAATCCCATCGCTACTACTACCAAACAAACTGTTAAAAGGTTTTTTTTTTAAAACATTTGTTTCAAAAATCTGTGGACGAAGTGGGGTCCATATTTTAGGCGCGTTTTACTGCGTCGGTGAGTGACGTGGCCGTGGGGACGAGGAATGGTGTGGTGTGGTGGGTTGCAGAGAATCGGATGTAGTTGCCCTTGTCGTTTTGTCGCTGCGGAGGCAGAGAAACAAGAAGAAAAAAGAAAGCCCGGAATGTGAAGAAATTCACGGGATGATAGAAATAGAATCTTATGGGTAGGGTTACCCAGCTGGGGACTGCTTCGGTACTTCATCACCTACCCTACTGATCATCAAAGTGTTCCAACACGTGGCAGATCAATACATGATCACAACTTCATATATTGGGCCCCAATTGTTTTGTTTCAGAAATTTATTTTTATTAGAAAATGATGTACCAGTGATCTGTTACGTGATATTGCCTTCGTTTGGGAAGTGAGTTGGCTTTTTAGTTTTTTTTGACCTTTTTAGTTATTTTAATCTGGGTTAAAAAATTTAGTTTGGGAAGGACTTTTTGACTTTTTTAACTTTTTGACTTTTTGGTGATGTGTCTTACTATTCAATTACCAAACTGTCCCTTATGTTCAACTTGTACCTGTGGCAATGAAAGTGGTCCTCCACGTCAACCTCCGTGGAGGACCGAATTTGGATAATTTTTTTTTAATTTTAAATAATTTAAATAATGTTAATATTGGATAATTTAAATAACGTTCAATTTAAATAATTTAAAATATTAATATTTTCAATTTGAAAACAACTCTACATTCAAATCGTAACCAAACACATAAAATATTTATTATATTGTCCTGCGTATTTTATTTTTATTTAATTTTAATTTATTTTTAAATATTTAATATAATTTTTATTTTTATTCAAATTTTAATTTTAATTTTAATTTTATTTTAAATATTTAAATAATGTAAATAATCTAAAAAATTGAATAAGTAAAAAATTTAAAATAAATATTCAAAAAATTTAAAAATTTTAAAAATTTTGTTTTAAATTTAAATAATTTAAAATGTTAATATTTTAAATTTAAAAACAACTCTACACTCAAGTCGTAACCAAACACATAAACTCAATTAATAAATTATTGAGGTAACTCATAACCAAACACATAACTCGAAATTCCATATTACTTTCACAACTTTACACTCAAATCATAACCAAATACATAACAAAATATTTAAAAATATTTTTATCAAATATAGTTTAAATTTATTTTCATAAAATATTTTAACAAAAAACAAAAAAAAATGTTTTTATTTTTTTTTTCAACTTTCTTTATCTTTCCTGGTAAAAAGCCTGATTTGATTTTTTTTTTTTTATACTTTCTGTAGGTTGACGCCGCCCCTCTTTCATGTGGGGTAGTATGGTAAATTAACTTGTCAAATTGTTGCAGCCATGCTCCCAACTTTTTTTTGTCCGTTTGTGGCTAAATTAGCCACTTTTGTCATTTAGTGACTAATTTAGCCCAAACCATGCTCCCAACTTTTTTTTGTCTGTTTGTGGCTAAATTAGCCACTTTTGTCATTTAGTGACTAATTTAGCCCAAACCCAACTTGCCAAACGCAGCCATTGTCACACACAAATGCATCACAATTATATGTTTATTCTTATGATGCATTTGTGACCATAGTCTATTTTGATAAATTAGTTAAAAGTAATTTTTTTAATTTTTTAATTTTTTTAAGTCACATTATCTCTTTATTTTTATTTATATATATATTTTAAAAATTAAAAAAAATTAACTTTTAACTTACTTTCTTTCTGAAATAAATCAATATTTTATTAAAGCTATGTTTGGTTTTATTTTTTTGACTAAAAAAACACAAAAGATAAAATTGGTTATATAAGTTAATAAGACAAATATCACATCTAAATTATAATCATTATACTTTTTTCTCACAAAAGTAAAAAAAGTCAAAAACAAAATCAAACAAGACTAAAAAAATAAAGTTTAAATACTTAAAAAGTCAAACTATTTTTAACTCTTTCTAAACGAGGAGTAAATTTTTTTATGTTGTGTGCACACTAAATTCAAATCCTTTG